GAACCCGAAGAGACCCGTAAATGTGCTACACTGAACCGACCCGGACCCGTCTATTATTTTGAAAGTTGGACCCGGGCCCGTGCAGAACCGAGAAATGTCAAAAATGTACTACCTGGAACTGACGCGGACCGTCACTTATTTGAAAGATGGACCCGAACCCGGCCGGGAAGACACAGACCCGACTGGACCCGATCGGCACATATTCCACAGCAAATTGCTATTAACAAGTCGATAAACAAGTTGCGAAAATTAAACTTTTTGTCTTACCTAATGTAAGAAGCCTTCTGCCTTGTACCTGACTGTGATGCACACATTCCTCCTTGCCAAGAAAGTTCCATCAGTGTTATTCCTCTCTTGCCAACTGAAATGCGTAATCCACTCATTATTCCAGTTTCAAAAGTCCACTTGCTGTCACGGTGACGGATGACAAATGCGACTTTGCAGTTTTGCATTTTTTGTATCTCGAGTCAACTTGCATAATAATTTAGACTGTTTGCCCATTTGGATTATAATAACGATTGCTCGTCCAGTGCCATGGCTGCTGACGTTAGCTTTACTTATTTGCTATCATCTCTGTGCTCTCTGAGCCGAGTCTGAGCAAAAATTTTAGATATAACAACAAGACGGTTCATTCATAATATTATTAAAAGAATAATCAATAATAACTCACATCACTCATGAAGGTATTCATTATCACTGTGCGTGTGCATTAACTCCGCCCACCCTGCTTCTGATGACGTCGCTCGTGTTTTTTTTTTTCACCTTATTTCAAATTACCGACTCACACTTTTCTCATCCTAATTTTACAAGTTGAAAGTTACAAAACAACACACGCACAGCGCTGACTGACTCTGATAACGGCCGGGTGTTCTCCGAGTCCGATCGACTCGGGTATCACACACAATGTTAAACAGACCCGGGACCCGAAGTAATAGATTGGGACCAGACCCGGACCCGGCTGACCATTTAAAATATAGCCCCGAACCCGTATGATCCCGGGTCGGGTCCCGGGTCCTCGGGTCTCGGGTCCTCCGTGTAGACCTCTACTTCACAGTTCCCGAGTATAGTCCACGGAGGGCTCCAGTTCCTAGTAGAGTAGTACTAAGAGCAGTACTAAGTAGAATTTTATTTCCAAACTAAATGAACACTTACATTGTTGAATCCTATTTTACGTCTTAATCATGACCTCTACTGGTGAAGCTTTGACAATAGACAAAAACTTGAGTGAAACTTGTATTTAAAATAAAACATACTCGACAAGCACACAGAGGCATTTTGCTCATTTCACTAAACCGCTTCAGTGTAAAAATCACATCACACTCTGACACACTGTTGAATCTATCAGCTGTTTTCACAGCAGCCTCTACTCTGCCTGATTCCACCAGAGAGACGGAAACATGTAAGAATATTTTTTACTTCGCTTATGAGAGAATATTAAATTTGTGTTAAATGTTAAATAAAAAGAACCCCTTTCTTAACAGTGATATAATCTAGATAGAAACACTGATGTCTGTAATACAGTAGTTCAGTTTTTAACTCTAATCTGATTTAATCTGAGATATTTTCTGTTGCAGCTGTTCCTCACACTGTTCACACTCACTCTGAAGGTTGTTCATTCACTCTCAACACAAAACTGCTATTCTGAATATTTGTAAAATCTAACACAAACCTCGAAATTTCATTCTCTCATGATCATATCATGTTGAATATTCATTTAAAATGAATTTAATAATAAAAACTGCGCATAATAAATCTGAATTAGTGCAATGAAATGTATTCTCTTATTGCAATATAAACATGGATTAAATCATTATTTTTTTTCTTTTGACAGGCTCATGGCGTTATTTCTGTTTGGACTCATAGGATTCATCTGTGAGGGACAGAAACCTCTCAGATTTCATTTAAAATCTCTTCAATTGTGTTCCGAGATGAACAAAAGTCTTAGGGGATTGGAACAACATGAGGGTGAGCAAATTAATGACATAATTTTTTTATTTTTGGGTAAACTATCCAGCGGATTTCAAGTTCCCAGCATGCTTTGCGTCAGACTGTGTAAGGAAAATAAATGTTGTAATGAAGTGTTATTTTGCTTTGTTTTTGCACAAGATTAATATAGGGAGAGATGTGTTAGTATTTAATGTTCTGTTATGTTGGAATTTACTTGGGTTTCTGTTTTGTACCATTGTGGTGAAGAGTAGAGCCTGTGGTTAGGTATAGTGATAGTCTCTTTGATAGCTACCATAGCACATGCTGGAGTGTAGTTCCTAACTAGTGTTTAACCTTAAAAGTTTTATTATGAATTTTACAGTATGAAATAAAAGTTCTGTTAATTTATTTTTTGAGTTAGTTGATTTAAAATAAATTAGTTTACTTCAATGTTTTGTTTATTCTGAACATATCAGATTTTACAGTGTAAAGTAAAGGTTCACTTACATGTTACAGTGCACACAGCTGTGAGTGTGGTGTCATGATTACGTTCATCTTCATAAAAAAGGACTGTGGTCAGATGTGCTACTTCCTAATTCACTCATTGTGTGAGTCTCGTCTCTTCTCTCACACTCGCTGTAATGGAGTTGTTCATCTTCATAGTTTTTCAGCTCCTGATGGAGGTTCAGTCTTACAGTAAGTGAACTCTGTTGTTTAATGTTGATTCAATACTGTGTGTTCACATTTGTAGTGAACAAAGTGTCATTGTCTAAAATATTTCAACATGTTGATCAGTAGGTTACATGTGAACCTAACTGACATTCATTTTGTTGTAGAATATTTTGTATACAGTGGCATGCGAAAGTTTGGGAACCCCTTGCAGAATCTGTGAAAATGTGAATAATTTTAACAAAATAAGAGAGATCATACAAAATGCATGTTATTTTTTATTTAGTACTGTCCTGAGTGAGATATTTTACATAAAAGATGTTTACATTTAATCCACAAGACAAAAAAATTGCTGAAATTATAAAAATAACCCCCTTCAAAAGTTTGGATGGATGATCCACGACTGTTTTTTGTTTTGTGATGGTTGTTCATGAGTCCCTTGTTTGTTCTGAACAGTTAAACCTAGCACTGTTCTTCAGAAAAATCCTCCATGTCCTGCAGATTCTTCAGTTTTCCAGCATCTTTTGCATATTTGAACCCTTTCCAGCAGTGACTGTATGATTTTGAGATCGATCATCCAGGTAACCACACACAGTATTAAGAACCAAGGGTTCCCAAACTTTTGAATGGGGTTATTTTTATAATTTCAGCTATTTTTTTGTCTTGTGGACTAAATGTAAACATCTTTTATGTAAAATATCTTACTCAGGACAGAACTAAATAAAAAATAACAGGCATCTTGCATGATCTCTATTATTTTGTTAAAATTATTGACATTTTCACAGATTCTGCAAGGGGTTCCCAAACTTTCGCATGCCACTGTATATAATTGCATATAATCAGCAGTTGTCTTATTTGGGTTTTTAGAACCCCAAAATATGTGCCTGTAAACATTTCACTGCTGTTCTTGTGATTTGGAAACTGTTATGGTAGTGTTTTTAGTAACTGGATCATTTGTCTTTAAACAGATGCACTTCTGAAACCCTTCATCAGTGTTAGTGATGATGATGACCAGCTCAGCATATCATGTGAAATACCACTTTCAGTCAGAGCTGATTTCAACTGTAGTCTCTACACTGAGGACGATGTTCTTCTGTATCAACGTGACTCTAAGTGGAGTCAGTCTGGAAAGAATCTTTGTATGTTTTATGTAAGTCGTAGTGAACTCTTCACACGATCAGTGAACAGCAGACAGCTGATCTGTGTTTATTCACTCAAGACTGAACCGGAGATCAGATCAACACACAGTGACACATACACCATCAGAGACACAAACACCATCAGGGGTGAGTTGTTATCACACTGTTATAATTATTATTTTTTTTAAATAAAAGCACTTGATTAGAGACACCTATAAAATTCTTATTAGCCAGAATGATTTATTATGTAGGCCAGAAGGATATTATGAAATCATGAAGGAGGATTGACCAATAAAAAAAGTGAAGTCAGTATCTTCAACAAACAAACTAAAATGAGAAAATGGAATGATAATATCTGTGTAATAAGTCTGGATGGATATTTTTTATAAAGACGCTTTCAATAGGCTGTACAACACTGAAAGAACAAATATACTAAATATTGGAAAGTTGAATGTTGTTGATCATAATCCCTGGGGCACCACAGACTCATTCAGAAACAACATATTGACGCTGATTCTAGCAGTTGTGTGATGCTGCTGTCAGACACTGAATCAGTAGACAGTAATCTGTGAAGTCTTGATTCTAACACAGAAAAACGTTCTTTTTAAGTTATTTTCAGACAAAAACTAAAACCACAGTGTGACTTTGAAAAGTGAATAATCTAATACATGTAAGAAAGAAAGAGCTGCTTGAGCTAATCATGTGATCATAGTTTAGAGGTCAGAGAGCTAGACTATGTCTGATACATGGAAACTTGAAATCATCAAATCAATTGCTAATATGGATGTTTGTGCTGTTGTTTTACCTCCAAAATTATATTACAAAAGGACTAAAAAGGACTGAAATATGGTATTTTTGTATTTGAAAGACTTGTACCTTCAACAAACAAACTTTGTTTTAAAGTTTGTAAATAATGTAAAATGACTCCTGTAATTCTGATAAATTGTGTCTGCAGTTTCAACATCAACCACCACTGAACATACGACTACAACAGCCATGACAACCTGTGAGTAACTGAGTTTGTAAATCAGTTATTCTTACTCCATTCTGAGTGTCCTCAAAACGACAATCATTCTTTCAAACTCATGATTATTTATTCAACATTTAATATATGTTGCGGCAAATTTCACAATGTCTTTTTTTCACATGAATTATACTGGCCACTTCTGAAACAACATACAGTAAAATTGGTTACTAATAACATAGCAACATAAACATTAGTACATTAGTAACAAAGTTACTAATACAGTAACAGCATTTCTGGTTATTCTAACTTAAATTTGAGAAACAATGTTTTTCTGAAAAGTGAATCCTCTTGCTATATTTGATTTTTATATTAGTAGATGTCCAATCCAAGACAAACCTGCCAACCAGCACAGCAAAGGAAACCCTGAATAAGTTTATCCACTCCTCCTCAATGAGAAAAGTCACTGTGTAGAATTAATATGTTGGATTCAAATAATATTAAAAAATACAGCTGGGATCCTGATTCAAAGTTTATTGGTAAAATGTAACTTTTTAAAAACACGTCTTGAGGCTATGCATTTTTTCCCATTCCATTTGCCGCTTCTCGAGTTTTTCAAAGCAAAAACGTGTTCTGTGGGAATGTGTTTACTGTACATAACTGCAAATGTCACAATGTATTTTCAGCAGCATTAACTGTAAGGTCCACTTCTGAAACAACAACATACAGTAAAACTGGTAAGTTACTAATAAAAAATGTTCTGGTTATTCTAGATCATTTTAAATTTGAGAAATGATTCCCGTCTGATAAGTGATTTGCAATGTGTTATTTGTCTATTAGTAGACTTTCAATCTAAATCAAACCTGGCAACCAGCACAGCAACGAAAACCATGGGTAAGATCAAACACTCTTCCTCAATGGACATTGTGTAGAATAAATATATTGGATTCAAAAGACAAATTCAAAAATACAGCTGGGGTCCATTTCCTAAGTTTATTCGTACATGGTAAGCAGTAGCACTCAGAGAATTAAACAACGACGTGTTTTTTTCAACATGGTAGCTACTTAAATGACGTTTTTTTTTTTTAACAGTTCTGTTTTAATACTTTAACTACATGCTGTGATTTTTTGCAGTTTCCAGGGCAACCTCTACTCGGCCTGGTAACAGTAGAATATCAGAATATAGTAAGTACTGTAGATGTCAAGTTAGCAAGCAAATGTCAAAATTGTTTTGCTTCAAAATGATGTCTAAACAAAATGTTGTCACACTGAATGAACTGTTTCACCCAATATGTTTGTTTGCTTGTTTGTTTATTTATTTGATTGGGAATGCCACTCTGATGTATATGTGACTGCATTTTTAGCTCTGGCTTACAGACAGACACATACATGCATCATACATATGAATACTTCTTTAATATCACACAATATACAACTGCTTATGATAATTGCTTATTATGTTATTTCTGCAGTGTTTAGTTCAGTACAATGTAAAGAAATATACATATGCCAGTCTTTGTTAAATACAACTTTAGATGTTCTCACTGCAATTTCAACAGCAATATCCACTCAAAAAACTACACAAATGGACATCGTCTCACACACACACACACACACACACACACACACACACACACACACACACACACACACACA